CTAAGGAGTAACTGATGATTTTTCATGGTTAAGATTTATTAATTAGCTTGGAAAACACTCCCAACAACTCTGACTGATAATCTGAGGACATAAGGTTTCTTTCCAAATCCTCACTCTCTAAGGGATGTTTTCATTAATGAGGAAAGTGTAGGCAGCTGGCCCTCTTCAGTCTTTGTTCCAAGATACTATCAATTAAGGAGAAGTGAAAATACTTTCCATTACACTTAAATAAAGAGCAATTTATTAACTCCGTGGAGATCTTTCATAACCCAGAATTTGTCTTTTTACTCCTAGATGATTTTATTTTTACTAAAATCACAAGTTTGGAATACTCCACTACAGAATGAGATTGGTAGGATAAAGAATATCTAGACTATGCCCTAAAATTAGCTATAGTACAGCTTGCTGAACTTGGTTATTTGTATGGAGATCATTGGAATTCATGGTAATTTCCCTCCTCCAGAATCAAGGTCATTGACTGTCGAGGCTGGAAGTCTTCCCGCCCTGTCTTTTTATTTTCTAAAAACTGAGACCAGAGAGATCAAGAGATTTCCACTGGAACAAAATTCTTTTGATCTTTTCCAACAGGAACATTATAAAACTAAGCAATAATAAAACAGGCCAACAAACAGCAAAGGGGTCCAATTTTTATTTTCTCTATTTTCTCTGCCTCTTTTCCTCCCTTGCTGCAATGAAAAGCTCAAAAGAACCAAGTAGAAGAAAGAAGAAGCTAAATAACAGCTGGGTTATTGATTCCTGAGAAATGAAAACTTATATGTGGTGGATAATTTCCACAAGCCACACAAGAACATCAGGCTCATAGCATATGAGGCTGATGCTTATGTTTGTTTATAGATCTAATGGCCATCATGTGGGTACTTGCTTAGGGTGTTCCTTTCACAGCCTGCTGGAAGGCTGTGGAGCTTCTCCAACATTTGGTCCTGAGACTGATGGCAGAGCGTTCTTTCCTCTATTGCCATTTGCATCCAACGTGGGTGGGATGGAAGAAGGGACAGCCAGAGCCGCAGAAGATCCTGGCAATGCTCAGGTGCCCCCACTTGCTCTGTGCACATGGGCTTTCTCAATCTTAACAAGTGTTTGTCATGCAAAACTTCAAGCCTTTCTTTTGATTCAATTTTTAAAAAGATGAAATGCATTTATTGCAATTTTTAATTCATTTGACAAATACCTACTGAGAATCTATTGCACATCAAGAATTGGCCTAAACAGATGAGTAAAACCGGTCATTCTCCTCAAGGAGCTAATGATTGAGGTTTTTTGTCTCCAGAGGAAACGTCCCTTTGGCTACATAAAAGCCTGCTTGTGCCCCCCTGTCCCCATGCTTTAGGAACATCACTTTATCCTAATAGCCAAGAGGTATTAATTAGTGGTCATAGAAATTAGTGAGTAAGCTGGAAGTACCAGTATAGTACTTCTTTCTTTCTCTCTCTCTTTCTTTCTTTCTTCCTTCCTTCCTTCTTTCTTTTCTTTCCCTCTTTCTTTCTTTCTTTCTTTCTTTCTTTCTTTCTTTCTTTCTTTCTTTCTTTCTA